TCGAGAGCAGAATGACCACATAAATCTGAGAGGAAAGTCGAAATTGGTGAAGATAAGACAGAATATGCGCATAATCTGAATTATGCTGACAGTAAAGTACACATTTTTACATTCACACAAAACCATAAAAAAGTAAAACTACAAAATGAAATTTCTGCGGTCGTATAAGAAAGCAATGATGAGATTACAATAACTTTGAAACAAAATCGGTAAGAAATGGAGCGGAACAGAAATATCAACATGCAATAAGGAGAACTGAAGCATAACAGTGTGAAGTTGCGAGTAATTCAACAGGCGTCGAATCTAACTTGAACATCGATCGATCGATCAAATGATCGATTTAGATGATGGAACAATCATGGAGCTGCATAACAGGTGCTCAGGGCGCATTATTGCACATAGATACATCGCGCCCAGACATAACAGTGGTTTTAAAAATAGAATGAAACATGAGTCACGAGTAACGGAATTAAAATTAAACGATGATGAAGTTGGACTTGATCAAGATGCACCGTAGAAACGAAAGATTAAAACAAAGTACAACCGATTTAGTTACGTGAGTAAAAACTCATCATCAATCAACAGATGAGCACTACATAAGTCAAGTTAAACAGGACACATATGAATGCATTCGGTATGCCGGTCTGCTATTTTTCGATATCAAGTACAAAATCATACACATAACTAATGTTCCTTTGATCAGATGCGGCCGTACTCATCTCATATTTATCACTATTGCGCGTATCCGCGTACTTCACTTTGCTTTGGATTCATACCGTGAATTAAACGGATTATGATATAACAGCAATGAGGGCGATACACCTTCATACGCGATTCCACCGGGCAATCACAGATGAAAAAATCGGTTTATATGTTGAAAGATGATGTTCCGTTTGACTGACCTAATCAATGTATTGGTGCGGTCGGCCGCTATGGGAATTCCCAGGTATAAGCATTACGAGAAGCTCTTTCAACCCCAATTATCAAGTTATGAAAAGGTTTGATGTGTTTCATCATTCTCTAGTATGCTTTTATATCAACTGATTTTCATCGATACAGTTGATTGATTGAATTCAAATGAAATTCGAATAAGAAAATTGCTTTTAAGCAACGCCAGTTTAAACCTATGCTGATATCGCTTCGGGTTACCAGTGAATATCAACGTTAGTTTTGTGAGTGACAACGTGGTGCCAAAGTTGTTCATTTGTGGTCAGGAAACAACCGTAGGTCAAGAACAGGGACCGAATTCGATGATACCGGTCAGACCTACGGACAGAGGCTGTAATCCAGATTCAGGAAAGATTTCACGCTGATTTTGGGTGTCTGTGTATTTAGGGCAATCGGGTGTTTACTGATGGCTGTGACATAGCCACGTCGCCTGAATCAAATAGATTCGGAATGTAGCTTGGTTTGCGCAGAAAATCAGAAAGCAAGGCTTCACTCTGGCTTTAATTAATAGGGATGAACGATGCAAAACAGATGGTAAAAATAAATGAATGAATTCACATAGTTTGGGAGATCTGTACAAAACAAACATACCGTCAGTTTGTTATATGCCTCATCCAGCGCGTGCATGGATTCTTCAAACACTTGCGAGTCACGTTGTTGGTAGATAACCTGATATGGGACAGGTTGAAAGAGGAATTAGTAAGTATATCTATGGGAAATACTGAATGAGGTTACAGACAATGAATTGCATAAAAAGAATATGCTGGGGAGACATGAGAAAGCGAACCGCGAAGAGAAGAATGACAGATGTGACACGGCTGGTATCAATTCAAATCCGGACGAGAAATCGTAAACAGTGTCAGACGACAGCCGCTGCGTTGCACTTGATACCAAAGGACCATTGTAGTCTGTCTATACGCCTGATTGAACGAGTGAAATGTGGGAATCACGTGAACTGACCGTTGCTTAGTCAATGGCAAGCAGATTACTACTGTCCAATTGACCTCGAATAAAAATACGTGGGTGTAATGAGGGGGTGGGTGATGCAGAGCGAATTTTCAATTAATATACTCTGGGCGCAAGGTCAACCGAATGTAGGCAGCGAAATCGAGCATAGCAGGGAGAGAAAAACAACCGGCCCAAACTACAAACTGATAACATAATAACAATATACAGACCTGGATATCGGTGACTTAACTAGGAATCAATATAAACAAACATCAATAGAATTGATCGTTACCATGCACAAATAGCGGTATGAAACACAAAATGACTTACGATATGACATTTTGTTATTTCCAGTGAATTTTTCGAATCCCCGGTAACGGGATTCATCTCGTTTCAAAATGAACCGACAAATGTGATGTTCTGTTTCTACCAGGACTGTTCCATATGAAATCGCACACAAATATCGTATGTAATACCATAATCTTGAAATTAGTTCTCAGACACTACACTAAACAGAACACCTCACTAGCTGGACTCACGCACGAGCATGAATAAATTCGAGCGTATTAGACCAATCAACGTACAGACTGTTTGTTTATCATGAGGTCAGGGCCAATATCGATTGAACATCAACAACAGAGTAAGACCGACAACAGCAACACTGTGTCGATTCCCAAGGTTATACACATATGCACATACTCTCACGAGGCGATTAAGTATAGACACATGATAAGAACAGGAGATTTCAATCGAGTGAATTACGCTTATTCGAACACTTTGATTCTCCGTCTACAATACGATAGTAATGAGTACTGATCGATTCAAAAGCATCAGAGTAGGAGTAATGTCACCGTACATGATTCGAACCACCACTGATACCCATTGTTTCACAGATACATCCAGCGAAGCAGATAGCGAAAACAGACTTGTGTGGTTCAATTCACGATTGGAATACTCATTACAACCGCCTAACAAAACCATTTATTTATTGATAGAAAACTATAAAGCATGAAGAATAATACTGCACCCTTTATCTTCACGAAGGATGCGCAATGTTTTTGACGCAGGTCCTGACCGAATTTTAAAAACAAACGCCTGGTGAGGAATTGCAATGATACGTATTGTTTGGAACTGAAAAACCTCCCTCGTGTATATTTACAACAGGACATTGGATCGTTTCAATTTCAAACTTCTACAAATCAATGATTTGTCGATGGTACTGAAGACTCCTGGGTTCGCATTTGTTTCATAAACTTGAAACCTGCCTCAGTAGGATTCAAACCCGAGCTGGTCGCGAAGTTTGCTTACAACAGACACATTCTACTGATTATCGAAGAAGATAATGGCTACACGTGATTCATTTGACTTCCATAATGTTTCAGGGGCGTGCTGAATACATTTCGCACCTTTCAGGAAAATTAATCGGTACAAAATCGATCTCGTTCAAGAACAAAGTGAAATTCCTATACGAGCCTCATATAGTGGTAGAAAAAGTTACAAATATACCCATTTTCAGCATCCCACACATACGGACTCTTACTTTTGAGCAATACGATCGACGGTCAACACCTTGCGCTCAATCAGTTAAGACGATGACTGCATGTACCTGGTGGGAAAGTAACGATCCTCCAAATAGTGAAACACACCCAAGATAATCAACAGTGCCCGTGAAAAACTCAATGAGTTAATCTAAATATTCATCACCTAAACTGATTGAGCTATTCGCGTAAGGTGTTGGCCGTCGGCTGTGTAGTTCAGGGGTAAGGGTGTCGATTCTCAACCCGAAGGTTAGCTGTTTCAGGCCTAATAAGAACACAAAAAGCACGCATTTGTGTTACTTAATTCACACCAAGGGTACACATATAAGAACGATTTGACTAGGGAGTATCAGATACGTCAAACTGGTGAGTAGCGAGGATTGTGAAACTGGTCATGTGCTTCTGTGAAATTCTATTTGATCATTCATCTCCTTGGTAGTTCAAATGTTTAGTTGTTTTGTTTTAGTAGACACATAAGCCACCGTGGAATAATAAAAACATCAATTTATCAGAAATGATGTATCACTTAGTCATCAGAGAAAATAGTACATAACCCACAGTTAATTCAATCAAAGATACAGTCCGGAAGCACTAGATTCAAGTTTCGCTCTGCTTAGAGCACATTAGTAGTGCACACCCTCAAACCAACCCGAGACTTGAACTACGAAACAGTCGCGTGGAAGGTGTGTTACCGGTGAGCCCAGCAGCTCACGCAGATTTAAGTTAATTCAATTGTCACCTTCAAAGAGAGTTAATCTGTTTTCAACTGTCAGATCAGGTACACTAAACAGTGATTGCATCGTCAGCCATTTTCACATGATTTAATAAATCCGGTGGCCTACGCACGAGTGAAAACGGAGAACCATGCCAAGGCAACAAACCCATTGCGCCAACTAAAACGAACTATGGCAAATGCACATAATCAATTGCGCGTCATAGGACTGACTTATCGATCGATCGAAAATGAGGCGCGACAGTAACAATAATAATACAGTCCGGGCAATGGATGAATGAGACAGAAACGAGAAAAACACAAGCTTTCGAATCTAAAGTACGGACTTGAAAGTTTACTCAATCGATAAGTTGAAAATCTGAATACGGACAAAGGTACATTAGGTATGATATCACCGAAATCATTCCGTTTTACTAATGATACCATGTACAGGTGTTGATCAAACTCGTGCAATATAAATTATTTGGGACACACATTTCAGTTTTCAACATCATGTGTATATGGATTGCCATGGGTGAAGTGAATTGATTACGAACTTTATCTTCCACTTTTATGTTCTTAGTTCCTTTACATCACCGTTTGAATTTGCGCAACCTCGAGTGTCACGATAAAAAATATAGTACATCGAAAGTTACAGTTCAGAATGGAGGAAGGAAACAGAATATTGACAAGTACAACACCTGTACTGTGCCTATAAGTCATTGTTATAAATAAATTAAAATTACTCTTTTTACTGAAGTTTAGTTATTTTACAACTGATGCACTAACAACCGTAGTCAGAATCGAGAAATCGCACACCGTATTGGCACTTGACTAACAGAAACACAAACATAACTGGATATTAGTACAAATATGTTGCGCCTGATGTGGGACAATATCATATTCAATCTCGTGAATGAGGCCCGAAATACTACGCGTTGAGAAGAACAAATGAGATGAAAGCCAGGGTGTTGCACGAGTTTGATCAATATCTGTACACAATTGAGGGAAATGCATACTACATTTGCCGAATGCTAAATGGTTTGCACCCCATCAAGGTAGACGTAAGTTTCACTACACGTAGATAACAGCAGACAAGATTTGTTTATCATCCACTTTTGTATATCATACACAGAGACTTGAAAAATAACGTACAGCAGCTGAGCGATCAAATCCCCCCCCCCACCAGGCCCCTCACTCCGGTAAAAGCAGCACTCATGACATTCACGGAGAATATCTGAAACCAGTTCGAGCATAAAACCGAGGATTGACTGCAGCGGAGAGTGAAGATCTGACTGGCCCCAGATGCAACAAAAGTGCATTCCAATGTAACATATTTAAAAATAAACATATGAACGTACTGCGACGATTGGTAACAAGCAAAGCAGAGGCATACGTAGAACACACGAACTTTGTAGGTTACACTTAGGAACAAAGCGCACATGCAGAGAATAAAAAAGCATTGGCACGTGAAAGTGAGAAAAGTAAACTCGAATATGCCATAACTGATTTTGTTCGAAAAAACTAGTTTACGACGATACCGCGAATAGAGCGTAATCTGATTGGCTGGTCCACACAAACATGGATGCAAACATGGGCAAACCATGAACCAGGAGAAGTAAACGAGAAGCAAAAATAGCAAGGGAAACGACACTGAACAACAGACCACACCACGGTTTGGTGCGAATTCAGTCAGACGGAATGAGTTGGAAATGTGTAAATTCAGTTGAAAGCTCGTCGGTGTACACAATGCAACAGATTACTAGAGAGATCAGAAATTTAATCAATATTTACAAGATAAACAATCAGCTCGAAAATCCTACGCGTCGCTGTTTTAACAGAGGGAAAATAACAGGGACTAGCGAAAAACTAACCGATCATATTATTGATTGTTCGTGGTAGAGGAAAACAACTGCAATCTCAAAGCAGGTTATGCATAATAGCTATTCGGCGGATGCTTGTCAAGAAGATACACACAGAAGATTTAAGCAATATTTCGCAGTAATATTAGGAATCACAAAAAAATAATTACCGATGAAAATCAAAATTGATATACTCATATGTAGATAAACACAAAACAGAGTTTCTTCGGTAGTTTTATAGAACATGAAGATGATAGTCGCGAAACAGCACCACAGACAACAGTATTAATTAGTAAAAGACTTGTACCGAAGCGCGTCCGGGTCGCGGAACCATCATGTTAATTCCGGTCTAGAAACATCACCTGCTTAAGGTCAAACACCACATAAAATTCTAACACATGATTGAATGTTGAATCAATTGACGGAGACACGGTCTTATACGCCCAAGCATTTTATGGGTACTCTGTTTCTCGATTTCGTCACGGGTAAACTGAGTTTTCGCTTGTGACCGATGGAATCAACCGTGAAAGTAGGTGAAGGTCATGTACCTTGGTAACCCCGTTTCTTCTGGATTGTGAGCACCCGAGTATGTGCGCGCGCGCGGTAAACAACATTTATTGATTGTGAATGAGTCACTTGTGGAAACGAAAACAGCAATCTTTGGAGCCCCTCAATGTTTCAGTTTGTACAACCATTAACCACGCATATTCGTGCGCCGGTTTTGGTTGCTGTCTTTTGGCTGCCCATTTGGATGAAGAATAGGAGAAAAGAGGAAAGTTGAAAGTGGAGTCGAAAGGAAAATGGAGAAGTTCCGTGGACTAAGGTTGGGAAGAAATTGAGGAGATGCACGTTGAACAGAAAATGGAAAAGTTCAGTGGTCTAAGGTTGCTAGCTAGAAAAGTAACATTCAAGGTCTAACTCTTCTACAAAAGGAGTAAGGAAAGAGGATTAAAACCGAAACGGAAAAATAACAAAGTTCAAAAACTCTCCATTACCTTTGACTGCTGATTGCGACAACGTTCAACCTCCTGACGGAAAGCGAGGATCTCACGATGCGTATGCTCGTGTCTCCGAGCTGCTTCCTCAATCGCTGCGTTGGTGGTTAGAGTGCATGCGAGACAAATACGGGAGAATAAAGACAAAATACGATAGACACTTTTCAGTTTAACATGTAGACGAAATCTGATGATTAGACCTAACAATCTGAAACGGAATATTAGTTTCATTCAAATATATTACTCTTCATCAGTTGAAATGAGCATCTAACTAAAAAGCAAGCCAAATGCTTCAGAAGTCCTCCAAACGAATATAAAAGAGAGCACGTCTGACAAAGTCCGGGTGAAAGAAGCCGTTATTAAACGAGTTTGATCTCATAGGTTTGATGGAAACGACTTAATAACAGAATGATATATCAGAAAACAATGAGAAGCAGCAAAGCGAATTTTTTTAATGACAACGAACTCAAATAAAACGGAAATATTAGGCATACTGTAGATCCGATAACGAATAATCCATAGACACATCGAGCACACAACCTAAACTCTTCCCGCTCTCCAGATTCCAACTGTCGATTAGTATTGAGTAGACGTCAGAAATTCCCCTAAAATACCTTGAACATAATGTGAATGACATCAGTTCCTAGGAAATTTTATAAAGGAACTTAATCCCCAGTGTCAGTTGGTACAATAGCAAAGAGATCTTTTGTTCGTATTGGCTTGATCATCATCAGTGATATGATATAAGAAAAAATGGAACCTTATTGATAAAGAATGGCCTGATCTGTTGATTTTATTTAAAGTTTGACTAAGGGGTATGGTTCATTGCAGATGAACGACC